TATATATATTGTCACCCACAGTTTCGCTGTATCACAGCTCTTCAAAGTGGCTTGATAGTCAGAGAGATTCTAACTCTAGGCTATCGTCGCAAAGGAAATTTTAACGTTTTCTATGCGAAATACGTCAGTGGTCCGGAAAGCTCAATTCAATTCGGTTGAAGAGAAATCCGTTAATAGCGGTATCAGTTTGAGATTCTATCCCTTGGCTATGCGAAATAAGTCAGTGGCTCGGAGAGCTCAATTAAATTCGGATATATATATATATATATATATATATATATATATATATATGAATAATAACATTAGGAAAACTATTTTGTCTATATTTCTGAGATGAGGTATTATGTACAGTATTTACATTAGTCGGACTATTGTCCTTGAGGACATTTGGGTATGAATTTCTGGGTATTATAAACCTAATTGCAATATGAGCACTGGTAAAAAATGGTTGCTGAAAACATTAGGTTTATAATACCGAGAAATTCAAGGACACATCGCACAGTGGATAAAGGCGTTGGTTAGATCCAGTGACAGACCCAAAGAGTGTGAGTTCAATACCCGGTTAAGGCAGTGGAGAACTTTCAGAGGGAAAATTAGCAGGAGATAACTGATAACTGACATCCATCAAACATGGCACGTGGAACTAGAACAGTCTACCCCAGTGATCGAAATAAAGGGTTCAGTTCGAAATTCCAACCACCTGAAGAAGGCCGGAGCGTACAACGGCCGAAACGTTGTGACAAATATGGCGACAAAGATGAGGACAATAGTCCCACTAATGTAAATACTGAAAACTCTTTTATAACAATGTACGCGTTTTGATCGCGTGGAAAGATAAATGTCTTATCAAAGACGCTTCTTGGTTTCAGTGAAAGAAACAAAAAAGAATGAAAGGTACAATTGTCTAAAATCTCCTGTTGATAACTCATAATAAATAATGGAAAAGCAAAAGATATATCAGAGACGCCTCTTGGTTTCAGTGAAAGAAAGAATGAAAGAAATAAAGAAATATTTACTGACTATTCCGTTTTGACCACGTGACGAATTAAATGACATATTAGAAACGCTAATTAGTTTCGGGGGAGAAAAACAAAGAAGTTGAAGTGTTTCGCCTATCACCCGGTTCACCCTCCTCCTCAGTAATTTGAACAGGATCAAACGTTCTTTCCATATTTCCTGTTTAGGATTGGATTTCCGCTTCGTAAAATGTACTTCCGCTCTATACTCCAGACGCTTGTCCTTTTCTACGCTAATATAAGTCCACACAGTACCTCTCAATCTTGAGCGGCTCTTGGACTTTGTATTGGATGAAGATTAGTAAAATAATTTTCCCTATTTCTTTTAACAATGTGTGTAGAAATGGTCTAAATGGTTGTCTGTTCTGAGCACACTTTTGGTTAATCTATCAGCAATTTTCGCGGATTTTATTTGTGTTATTCTAAAAGGCTATTGTAGATGTTACCACTATGGGCGTAAACAATGGATTCTGACTGTGCAGGTGTATAGACTTTGGTGCAGCAGGCATGGAAAGGTGCCACCTATCCCCGTCTACCCTCAAAGTATAATATTACATCCATCCATCAATTCCCCCAGATTCTTAATACACCCGCACCAAACCAAGGCATTTTAGCTTCACTTGACGTAAAAAACCTATTCACGAATGTTCCAGCAGACGATACAATTAATATTATTTGCAACAAACTCATCAATTCTAACGCCATCTATCAAATCTGATATTGTAAAAGAAATCTACAACAGGCTTGCTTAAATAAAGTCCATTTGACGCCTATTTGCAACAGCACTTACACATCTCTTAGACGAAAATGTATAGAAAGTGCTTTAATTGCTAGATCGCCCAGAGTAAATTTACAGGCTCTTACAAGATTCCACCGTTTTTTGGCAAATCTTCCGTTATGACAATATGGAATATTTTAAAAGAAAAGCGATAGAAGTATAAACAAAAAGAAAAGAAGGAAAAAAAACTATATGAAATCGGATAGAATTTATACCGAAAACATATTTTTAAAAATTCTAGATTTAAAACTCTCATCGGCTCCTCTGCTTCGTGCGCATGTGTAGTCACGTCAACGTAAATATTTCTACTTATCCGACGAAGCCCGAAGAACGAAACGCCTCAAACGAAAACTTTGTCCACCTTGTCATTGATTTTGTTAAAACAGTACCGCAACTAACATCCTTAAAAATTATGAATAGATAACCTTAAATCGCTCAGAGCGAAAAAAAAAACCAACAAAAAACAACAACATTTGAACTGTTTCTACAGACACTATACAAGATCTGTCTGGAAAGTAACGAGACTGGAGTCACAAACAATTTATTCAATTTTAAACATCAAACTACATGGGTTCCCATTTAAAGTAATTCCTCTTGAAGTCTAATGCATTTTCCATCCTTCTCTGCCCGACCCTTCTATGCACTGCTGGAGAGGATTCTTCTTGGATGTCCCTCAGTTCCATCATTATGACCCTCATGAAGGCCTCCATACTTTCAAAACGGGTCGCCTTTCAGCTTGGAGAAAAGAAGAAAGTCACATGTAGCAAGATCAGGTGAATAGCACGGTTGAATAGCAAGACAGATTAAATCCTATAGCCTTGGTTGGCATCCAGTCTACCGCTTAAAGAGACGGTAACCTATTGCGGGAAAATCTGCCTGTTCAGTCATGAATTGAGAGAGATATGATCGCCTAAGCGTGTATCACTTATGGTACTTCACTGAAAGAGTCAACAGGAATTTAGGTGAGGAAGTTGTGGAGAGACATTATAGCCCAAGCGTGTATCACGTACGGCAGTTAACTGACTCATACAGAAACTGAACACAGGGTCTTACGTTAGGGATATTTTCCCCTAACGCCAGAAGATGGTACAAAACAAAACCATTAACTTGGAAACTAGACTCATGTTCTTAAATACACCTTTGTGAAAATTAATTGAAACAAAACAAATAATTTCGTTATTATTTACTTTCTTTTCATATTTTCCAATGAAACATGACTCAGTGCACATGTTAGTACTTCGTATGTCCATTCCACGAAG